AGAAATGTGTTTACATTCTAATCTGTGTGATGGACCTCCCTGATAAGGAAGGCAGTTCTGCAGCATCAGGGGAAAAAGGCGGTAGATCGGGGCTCAGTGCCAGCAGCAGAAGTGCTAGGCACCTTTTAGCAGCAGAGGACACACATATTAATGGATCCTGTGTCTCCCTCCAGTGATGCTGCCACAGCATGTTTTCTCCTCTCTGAGCTTTGGGAGATGTCAAAGCAGAGTCAGCCTCCTACGAAAACAGAAAACTTGTTTCTGTGATACCAAGCCTCTTACTGGGTTTGTCATCTCTGGCTTTGTGCCTGGAGTTATCTGGGTGGGATGGCGTCCGTGCACCTGTTCATAACCTCCGCCAACATCAGTGTGCTTGCTTTCGGCTCGCATTCGCCTGCGGAAGGAGGTTAAACACAAAACTCTTTGAGAAGAAAACACCTGAACCCCATCAGATTCCAACCAAAGGAACATGTCAGCAGAATATACTGAGAGGTCAAGGAAACATAATCCGGAACAAAGAAGTAATTACGTTTCTCAACCGGAGACTGGGATTGTGGTTGTGTAGTATAACCAATGAATAAATATTTTCTCCCATGTAGGCAGGTAAAGCAGAAAATCCAAAATCATTGTTTTGGTCTTACATTGTATTTAAGCATATATACAGTGTGTAAGCTATGGATAGCAGAGTGATTATAAATCCATCAATTAAACTTGCATTTATGTTTTGCCCGATTATACGGATTTTAGACATCAATCAGGCATTATGACACTGTTTATGACTTCACCTTGACATCTGTTAGTGAAGCAAACGCTGGCCTGTGTGGTCAAGACGAGCTGCCGTAGCTCAAACTGCCAAAAAGGTTCATGCTGGTTCTGATAGAAAAGTGTCAGAATACACAACGCATCACACTTTGTTGCACCAACACTGAGTAGGCGAGCATCAGAACTGAACCACAGAGCAATGGAAGGAGGTGGCCTAGTCAAATGAATCATGTTTTCTTTTATTTCACGTTGATGGCCGGGTGTGTGTGCATTGCTTACCAAGGGAAGACCGCACCATAATGAACTATAGGAAGAAGGCAAACCAGCTGAGGCAGTTTTGATGCTTGCAATGTTCTGCTGGGAAACCTTAGGTCCTACCATCCATGTGGATGATACTTTAACACGGACCTACCTGAGCATTGTTGCGGGCCATGTACACCCTTTCATGGGACCAGTATTCCTTGAAGGCTGTGGCCTCTTGTTTCAGGAATGGTTTGACAAGTTCGAGGTGTTGACTTGTTCCCCAGTTTCCCCAGATCTCAGTCCAATTGAGCATCTGTGGGATGCGCTGGGCAAAAAAGTCTGATCCATGGGAACTTAAGGAAGCTGTGTCTGAAATCTTGGTGCCAGATACTATAGCACGCCTTCAGCGGTCTAGTGGAGTCCATGCCTCAATGGGTCAGGACTGTTTTGGCAGCAAAAGGGGGACCAACACAATATCAGGCCGTAAAGTTATGCCCAATCAGTTATGATGTGTTTTTCTTCTTGTTCTAAGAAAACATGACATTCTTAATGAATATCTGTAAATGTGACAATTGTTTGTCTACAACAACACATGTTTCAGCGTTTTCGCCAAGCTTCTTTTTTTAAAACTCTAATTTCCTGTTTCAGGTGAATAGATTCAGTCCTTGCTGTCAGTCTTCTACCCATAAAAGATAATTTATGCATGGTTTTCTAATTACTTGGCATAATGCTGTAAAGGACAGTGCCTAACTAATGGCTGAAATGTTGGGTTAGTAATGATAGAGGAGAGTTGAGTTAATGTGTACCTGTCAAACAGCTCTGCTTGCAAGTGGATCATTTGGGCTGAGCTAGGTGGTAGTTGCAGGCAGTTTCTGTCATACTTGTGATTGCTCCAGCTGGTTTCACTTTATAAGTAAAGTGACTGAGGGATAGAACATCTAGTTGGGATGCATGAGGGGGGGAAAGTGGAGAAGAAAAAAAAATCTCTGTAGATGGGTCCTTCTCAGAGTGAGCTTTGTGTGAATTACATGGTTTGTGATTGGTTTTCTTTTGTAAGTTAGGGTTTGGATAAGACCTTTGAGGCTTCTGTGTCACAATTGCTATATTTTATTTGACCAAGCTTTATTCGGGCACAGTGGTTGTATTCACTACCCTTTATGTTATTATTCCTTAGCTAGCAACCCTGGCATCATGTCGTGATGTACTTGTGAAACTATTCATTCAAGCAGAGGGCCCAACCTCAACCCTCCTGTTTGATAAATAAGCCTCTGTATTCAATATAAGATGGTTGTTACAGAGCAGAGGTAGAGCTTTAAATCAGAATCTGAAACCTTTTGTTGTCATTAAACATCAGATGTTTGATTAAATTAGAATTATGTATTAATAAATGTATATGTAGAAGAAAGGTCAAATGAAAAATACACTGTTTATTCTATTGTGGTGGGGCGTGGTTTGCGGTGCCGTGCAGGGAGGGCGGACGCACCGGCACGGCATCCTTAATCACGCCCGCCTAGTTAAAAACACAGGGACTCAGGGGTTTGGGGTGTTGTGGTGTGACGTGAATTAAATAAAGATGGCTCTGAACGTTGCTCCATGGTCCCGCCGTGCCTTATTCACGCCACATCTATTCTACAGGGTTGCATATAAGGATATAATAAAAAAAAAAGCCTTAAAATGTGGTAAATACACCCCGAGATGCATTGTGATTATTTATAAAACACAAACCAAAGCAAAAAAAGCAGAAGCAGTGTGTAAAAAATTAAGTACACCCCTTGATTTAGTGGCTTGTAGAACCATCTTTAGCAGCAATAACTTGAAGTAATGGTTTTTAGACTTTATCAGACTCACAGAGTGTGAGAGTCTAAAAGTGTTGCTTCAGCACATTGAGATTTGTGGGCATTTGTTTATGTGCAGCTCGCTTAAGGTCCCACCACAGCATTTCAGTCAGATTGGGGTCTAAACTTTGACTTTTGACATTGACTGTTTTCTTTTTCAGCCATTTGCCGCTGTGAGTGGGATTATTGATGCATTTCAGGACTGCCAGTCCTCACATTTGACTCTAGAATACTTTGGTATACATAGAGGAGTTCAATAAACTCCTTGGCTCGATGTGTTATGGGTGTTTTTGTTGCATAGTTTATAGTTTGGCCACCACTCTGCAGCATCCCTGCTGGAAACACATGTTTGGAAAGTAACAACCAGTGCAAGCAGAGTCAGGCATACTGTAAACAAGCATTTAACTACATATAGCATATTTTGTGTGTCTGAAAAGAAATTGTCCAATATATTGAAATGTTGTTGTTGTTGTTTTTTTTTGTAACCAAACCTTTGGCGTGCCATGGTCATGGTAAAAGTCTGTCTGTGTCTGTGCTAAACGCCACCTTGCACGTCCCTCACAGGCTCAGAGAGGTAGCGAGAGAGGCATCATAGGTTAATGCCTTAATCTTATCGCAAATTAGAAACAGAGTCGATAAGATAAAATGGCAATGTGTTCATGTTATTGCTGTTAAGGGGATTCTCTAGTGAGCTGAGCACCTCACAAACATGCACAAGAGGCATGCGCAGTCGTAAACTGGTGAGAGCCTGAGAGTTAACGTGACTGTATGCAGTCACACTCGTATCATGTTGAAACCAGTACTCGGTCTGACCTGGTGAGATTTCCATCAAGACTTTTGTGGGAAAGTGAAGTGCTAAGTGAAGTGCGTCTTCAGACTTGAAGCACACGGGCTGTCGGATTAATGGAAAGGTCTGTCAAAATGGGCCAAGCTTGTCTTATCAGCTTTATCAGTAAAGATAAGCTGGTGATGTTTTAAAGCTCCCGTGTCCTGCGTCTTTCACATCAAACATTACACACAGCTAATCTGCACTGCATTTTTGCATCCCTGGCATACCTAGTGACGCCCCAGACATCCATTCCTGCACCGTCAAATCTTATCATGCTTTGCATGTTAATTTAAAATTAAAATCTAGTTCTGTTCACAGCCTTCAGAAACCTTCTATTTTAAGGCCTTTTTGGAGTTGAGCTGTGCATATATAGAAATATCTGTAGCTGTGTAAATTACCCATTCAAACGAAGAGCAGTCTTCTCAGTATCCTGCCGATGTTTCTCTGTATTCACTTATGGTTTGTGCTCTCCCTATAACTGTGATCAGCTCAGTAACAGCCAGTGCGAGAGGCTGAATGGCTCCTTTGTGAAATTTCCCATTTGTGGCAGAATGAATTTTTTCTCCTCTCCTGTTATTGTATATGAAGCAATGTGAGCTAGATATGAGTATAGGAGTATTTTGATTTTGCTATACCAGTCGTCTGATTATGAGGGTGTGACTCAGGGGTAAATGAAACACTCATCACTCTAGATTTATGGACCAGAGATGGTGTCCTCACAGCGTGTCAACGGCTCACTGCCGATGTGACGTGCTGGAAAACGGAAGATGCAGGAGGCTGCAGTGCGCTTTGAGTTAATGAGGTACACACTGCTCGCACAGCAGCAGAAAACTCTGCCACCAACGAGGGGACATTTGAATTTGGCTGGAAGGTCCGCTTTTTATGATGTTGAAAGATTGTTCGCGGTCCCTGTTGGCCAGAAACATGCTGATGAGAGAGTGGAGGCCTTTTCATCTGTGTGCTATAACCATTACCTGAAATAGCTGGCTGTAAATCATAATTTGAGCAGTTGCGGGAAAAGCCTGTTTGTTCCCTGACAGCAGAAAGAAAGACGGCATTACAATAATGAAAAATGTGCTTTATTCGAAAGTCTTGTGTTTATTGTAAACGGCTAATGTTGACTCAGATCAACTAAGCTATAAAGAAGGCTTTTCTAATCCTCACAAAATGTAATTCATGTTTGATAGCTGTCGTCTCCGGGAGTGTAAAAACAAAAAAAATCCCTTAATTGTTTTTTGGGGGGTTTTGGATGAATTTGATGTTAAAGTCTATTTTTTCCCACTTTATGCTCAAATGAAATGAGTGTTTTTGTTTTTGTTTTTTTTTTGCAGGGAAAATGTCAAATATCCGTGCAGTCAGGAAGATGCAACAGCTGAATAACTTGGTTGCCATGGTTACAGAGCTCGCCAGGCCAGGATACACCATCGTGGATTTCTGCAGCGGAACGGTACGAGTATTCATCCATCAGTCCGGCTCAGCATGCATATTTATCACTATACCTGACCACGGCTGCATTCGATAGATGCTCCATTAGGGACCAGCTGAAAGGAACCAGCCCTCACTCCCTCGCGTTTTTCTTCCCTTTTTTAAACGCCTTTTGTTGCTGGCCGGTGCGCACAAGCAGACTGGTAATTGTGCTAATGAAAATGCAGGCTCGGAGCAGTGGCTCAGCACGGGTCAGGGCTGGAAAGGGAGACACTAATCATAACTCTGTCGATGCCCTCTTTGATGTGTGCTGTTTTCTTTTCATGCGTTTTCATATTTTTATTCTTTGTGCTCTTTCTCAGGGCCACGTAGGGATTGTTCTTGCTCACACACTTCCAGACTGCCAGGTAACATGTATGAAGATGTTGTGTGTCTCTGTGTGTTAGCTGCGTGTTAAGTAGAGTTCGTGAGTGGTATGTGGTGACTTTTGGCAGGCATTTTTAAAAATGTTAGGGATGGGAATCGATTCCGATTCCTTTATAAATATCACTTATCAATTTGACTCCTTATCGATTCTCTGTTATCGATTCTCATTAGGATCTCGTTAGGATTATAATTAAAACAACAACAACAACGTGCAGTTTTGATGGTGCTAATTTTATCACATGCAGCAAATGATCCTATCGAAATACAGGACACACTCGAGTCGCTGCTTGATGACATTCATTTAATTTCGCCTCAGTCATTTTACTCTCCTGTTAATATTAATCTCAATTTTAGTTACATTTTAATGATATAGTGCCAAATAATAACAACAGTTGCCTCAAGGCACTTTATATTGTAAGGTAAAGATCCTACAGTAGTAGAGAAAACCTGAACAATCAGACAACGCCTTATGAGCAAGCACTTTATGACAGTGTGAAGAAAAAACTCCAGCAGGACCAGGCTCAGGGAGGAGCAGCCATCCACCATGACCAGTTTGGGGGGAGGGGAGGAAGACACGTCAAAAGACACAAGATCAACCAGCTAACCCCTCAGGCAGCTGCCCAGCTGGGAAACCACTGGGCTGGCTGTGTGCACTGGGGGCTACTGAACCTTTGAAGCCCATATGGGCCTGACGAGTGCAAAGCTTTCCAGAAGCTCCAGAAGAAGTCAACTAGCACATGCAGCAGGGAAAGACCCGGTCCTGAGTGGACCACTTCCCTGCCTTAATGAAAAGGCTAGCTAAACATCTGCGAGACTCTGATCCAGCCTCTAAGACAAGCAGAATAGAATTCCGAGGAATTGAACTACTGAAAGAAGCAAAAGCGGGTACTTTACAAGAACCCCCTCCTGCTTCTCCATTCCCATCCCTCTCTGTTATTATGTGTTATTATTCCTAATAATTAAATGCATCTCCATGAAATGCTTTAGTTTTTCACAAAGCATATGGTTTGTTTAAGAATTTTTAATATTTGTGATGTGTTTTAATGTTGTTAAGGATATGTAGATGGATAAGTTTAAATGCATTTGTGCTTGTTTCATGTTTTTTAAAAAAGAAGCAGCTACTCACAGTGGGGATTTTTCTGTCATTGCTTAAGGTCATCCTCATAGAGAACAAAGAAGAGTCCTTGGTCAGGGCTCAGAGTCGCAGTGCTGAGCTCGGTCTGAAAAATATCGGCTTCATTCAGGCCAATCTGGATTACTTCACTGGACCTTTTCACATCGGGGTGAGCATAGCAAGTTACAAAAATCGTTTTTGCACAATTTGTTTCATTTATTTGCATGATGATCCAAAGAGTACAGTACTGTAGCACAGCGGTCCCCAACCTTTTTTGTGCCACGGACCGGTTTATGCCCGACATTATTTTCACGGACCGGCCTTTAAGGTGTCGCGGATAAATACAACAAAATAAAACCAGTACCGGTGCCGAAAAAAAGAAGATTTATTCATAACACACTTGAAAAGACCAAGGAAAACCGAGTTAACGATAAAAACGATAAAAACGATGACAAAATAACGCTGAAAACCAATAAAAACCCTGAAAACCATACATTTCACACCTGAGCCTCAACTCTCGCGGCCCGGTACCAAACGACTCACGGACCGGTACCGGTCCAAGGCCCGGGGGTTGGGGACCGCTGCTATAGTGAGTAAGGCTTCCTTGATACAGCCTCAAAACCATGTGTGATATTTCAAGGAAATGTGCAATAATGATATTTCTGATGATATTAATTAAATACTGAACAGTGTTTTATTGGTGATTGTAGCTTGCAGGCAGCATTTATTGACGCAAACAAAATGAAGGGCATTTGCTGTCCTTCTTTTCCAGTGAGCTGCTTTCATTGATGACACACTGTGTCAGTCGATTGATATAAGGGGCTACGAGACGGAGCATTATAGCATAATAGTAATAGTAATGTGTTTTTGTTGGAAGTTTTAAGTTAAAGTGTAAGATAAGTGCATTACTATTGAGCTTTACCATGAAATAATAATATAATGTAATATAACCTTTGAAATCTTCTGAAAGCTGCAAAATATTGTTACATAATAAAATTTAAATAGAGACATATTTTATTAAGTTGAGTTTCCTAAACCTGCCTAATCCTGTACCTTCGTGTAACTGTATCAAGGACTTCCAGCCACTGTTTTCTCTTCTTGAGTCATTTTTTGTAACATTTAGTTTGCACATCGTCAGCTGCTAGCATCTCCTCCTTCTGTGTTTTTGTACCCTGCTTGTGCTTGACGTTGTAAATATGACTGAAGTGGTGAAACGAGTTTGTTGTTTCCACTTTTAGCGGGCGCAGCAGTTCTTTATTGGGCGTTTGACAAGCTGCTCTCGCCCTTTTTTTTTTTTTTTTAATATATCAAGTAAAATTGTATTCCAGTGTTATCTTGGATGGTATTGTCTGATGACGGCACGGCCGTGTTCCATAGCAACATAGCATTTCGTTCTGCGTGTTGTTGTGTCACTTTATATTTTGAAGAGAATCGTACAAGAATCACAGGCTGCCAACCGAGTGTTGTCTCCGTGTTTACTGTGATTCACACGAAGCTTCTTCAAGTCTCTCAATTCATTATAACACTCTTTCTTAAAATAGCTTTCATGTGAGAGATGAGCAGCATATTCTCATGTAGGTTTTCATTAACGTAACCTCTTGTATCCAGGAATGCCGACTGATAATGCCACAGAAGACTGTAAATACGCAGGTTTTCCATTTTGCTTTTATCTCACGCACAAAGATGCACAGACAGGAGTAGGCAGGAGATGCGGCGCACATACTTGTAGATGGTATCACCATTAGTGATATGAAAGGAAATGTAGCAATGGATCATAAGGCAAGGTAGAACAAGTCTGCAAGCAAAATACAATCAGCGTGGTTTTTAAAATATTTACAAAACATTTTACACTTGATTTATGGGGAAGAAAACTCATTAAATCTTAATAAGCACTCTAAGTGTTTTGATTTTTATCATATGTAAATGTAAGTACTTGGAAAGCACAGTTCCTCCTTTTAAATAATCTGTTGGATATTGCTAATTATTTTGTAAATATTGCTATCATGATTATTTTGCAGTAAACTTTGATTTTAGACCACTCGTTAAAGTTTTTAGGTTGCTCTCTTATGCACTGTTTAGCAGCACAATTACATGCTCTTCCCACGCTCTCCTGCCAAGAAAGATGCTTCATTTTGTAAAACTGACTCTACATGTCAGTCTTTAAATTGACTGTTCTTGTTCTCCACTTCCTCCCCAATGTAAGTTGGGATATGCACATAACAATGTGGAAAGTCCAATATTTTAGATGTTTTTAATCGTCACTAACCAAATGAAGATATTTGCACGACGTTGCTGTTGTTGGGGTTTAAGGAATTTGCACTGATGTAGAATAACAATTAAACGGTTGACTCCTGCTATGTGATTTTCAGTGTACGACATAAATATTTTACATTTTTCACATTTCCCGTGACATTTCAAGCCTCCCAAGTCCTCATAAAATATTAAAGAATGACACTAAAAATGACTTTGCAGCTGTGATAGATAACAAGAAGCTTTGTTTCTGCGGGGTATAAATGTGAGGAGGACTAGCCCACCTGACTCTGTCAATCTTCATCTTGCTACTTTTAGAGTTTTGGCCTCAGGTCGTGTTCCAGGTACTCGTGGATATTTTGCAGGTGAAGACATTCCAAGCAGTCTGTGGGTTTATGAGCTGTGAAGCTCTAAACTGCCTGTTTCATTAAGGCCATGAAAGTTTGTGCTAAACTTTTCTCCATGTGACCGCACTGGCCCCTAACCCTTGAACTGTTTCATGTTGATTTTTAATTAGCATGAAGCAAACCAAACCATGTTTAACCATCTCAAACAAACTTTACTCCCATGTCAAAACAAAAGTAATGAAAGTCCTTCTTTCCCTGCTTTGGAGATTATGCACATGGGTTTTGTTTGGTTTAGGACTTTGATTTTGTTGCATATTCATCTTGTTTGTATAGAACTTTTCCATTATTTTTTTTCTCTCAGCAAACTTTTTTGTGTTTTCTTTTTTATTTACTTTTTTTTTCTTTTTACAGCAAAATGTTCCAGGAGACTCTGACATCTAAGGTATGCTTTTAAATATGATTAATTCTCTTTATTGTGTTTAATACAGATTACAGGTTTACAGCAACTTTTTACAAGGAAAGTGTCACATGCAGGTCAATACATGTGAAAAACAAGGACTCTGTGCACGTATTACACCGTGTCCTTATTTATATAAGAAAAAACAAACTCAAAATGAAAGAAGCAGTAGATTAAAAATTAAGTAGCTTCTTTAGAGCGTTGCTTTGGTTCATTGGGTTTTGCACAGCTCTCTTAAGATCGTTTCATCAACCACAGGGTTTCAATCAAGTTCAAATCTGAACTTGTGATTCTTTCCTTTTGCAGTCATTCTGTTGCACATTTGCTGCTGTGTTTGGGATCATTGTCCTGTTACTTGACCCATTTTCAGCCAAGCGTTAGCTGTTGGACAGATGACCTCACGTTTGACTCTGAAATACTTTGGTAAACAGAGGAGTTCGTGTTTGACTCAATGACCGCAAGGTGCCAAGGTCCTGTGGCGAAGCTAAGCCATGCTGCCATGTTTTCCTTCAGAGATAAGAGGCTTTCTCCTGACTATAAGACTACAAACAGCCATACTGTTTGTAGTCTTTCTAAATCTGTCATGAGCCTTAACGTAACACGCTAGCCGAGATCTGCAGAGTCTGAGATCTAGCTCTTGGCCATCTTTACAAGCTTTGTGAGGGGGAAAAGAAACATTATACGGTCTAACCTTTCGAGGGAATTTGCAGGGACATCTGCTCCTGGGAAGTGGCATTAATAAAAAATATTTTTAAATAAAATCTATTTGTGTATTCATGATTGAGATTACATTTAGGAGCAACTCACTAGCAACTACTAGCAACTTTCAGATTACTAATTTTAAACTGTTGCAGTATTAAATATGGAAAAAAGTCTTTGAGGACAAGACTCAGTAGTTTAGGGTAGAATTTAACAAATAATTTCCTATATTATCTTCAAATGGTTCATACTTTAGGAGCAAAAAAACAAGCCAAACTATTGTGAGTTGGCTCCGTTTTGGTTATAGCTCGTTTACATATAGTGCATTAATGTACACTTACTGTGTGTACAGCTTTAAAAGGTTTGACTTTAATCCACCCAGTCTAAAGGCAACAAAAATCTAACAACTCTTCCAATTCATTCATAAAACTGGATGAAAATCTTTATTTTATCAGAAACTTAGAAGAACTGATGAGATCTCTGCGCTTATCAGTGTCTCGCAAACAAAGATTCCCAAGTCACTTCCCTTATCACTCGGCACAGACACGCCACTGTGCTCCGGGAGGGCCTATCCCGCGATGATATATGGGACCTGTCAGGGCCCCTGGGGAAAATCTGTGCAGGAGAAGCTGCAGGTCCTAACCATAGCAACCTCAAGAGTTGACATGTCACAACATTGGACCACCTTTAACTTCTTTGTGCGCTACAAGAATCAGATTTTTTTTTTTTTTTTTTTACATGGCCCAAGAGGCACAAAACATAGTATTATACTTAGAAGCCACTGAGCAATTACAGTGTTACGTGATACTGAGTTCAGATTTTTCCAAAAAGCTGAGTGAGAGGAAAAAAACACACAATAAGGAAGACACTAAGCATGCAGCCACCCAGCAGGAGAAATCTATATTCTGTTTATACCAGCAGGCATATTATCCTCCACTTTAAACCTGAGCTCCAAATCTCCTCGGCCTCCCTGCTTGGTTTTCCTTTCGACAAACATGTTTGGCATTTGTTATTTATTTGGGCTCAAGGTAGGGAACCCCACTGCTTTCTGTTTCTTTGCCCCTCCGCACCAGACATCCCAGGCAATGTCCCAGACAAGAGTCACAGAAATAAAAGCTGCGTTCGCTCGTTTTACAGCAGAACCAGAGTTGTTCTTTCCGAACTACAGTAGTTAAACAGAATGACAGCACAATGACAAATAGTGTATCACTGGAATAAAGGGCTAATGGTGTGAGATATTGGTGCTCACACGAGCTTTAAGCACCTGTTCCATGGCCTTGCATTCAGCGCCGACCCCGCAGAGTGAAGAATAGAACCAATTAAAGTGGAGGCAAGTTTCAGCTGACTTAACGCTCTCATGAATCACTTGTTCCATGAACCATAAGGTAGAAACTAGAATTACTGCCTCACGGCTGCGGTATATGGTTCTGCAAACCAGTCAGGGTGGTTTGCTGCGATTGCAGACTTGACCTTTGAACTTTTACATATAAGATTTCATCAGTTCTGACTGTTATCCTGTGGTACATACATACGTAATAATGTATCATTTTCATCATAAATGCCGTGTATGATTGTTTGAGTTATAGTCGAAGCTTTTTGAGGTCACGGTAACCTTAACTGTTGACTGCCAAAATATTATCAATTCATCTGAACAAATGAACATAAGTGCATGTGTAGTACATCGTGTGCTCAGAGCTGCATACATAGAAATTTTAAGCCATGCGATACTCAAGTGAGAATGTTTTTGACCCCACTGCTGTAAGCAAGGCAGAAAAAGGATGAATCGATACAAATAAGCTACAATGGTATTAGTTAAACTTTTATGCAGTGTGTGGACATTTTCAGATATACTTGATCTTAACGCAGTGATGAACAGATCACTTGCACCACATGCACGTAACAATAAGTGAGCAGTAACTGTACTCGTTTTTTGTCTTTGTTTCAGGAACACATGATCCTCTGTCGCTTCGCAGACCAGACGGCTGTCCAGCTTCCGCCAGACAGGAGACTCATTGGTGCTGTTTGCAATCTTCTCTTTAGACCTGCGCTATTATTTATGTTCAGTCCTTTATTACTTTTTTAGGCTAAACATTCTTAGCAGTATCTGGTAACTGCTGCACATAGAGACACAGCATCGAGTATCATTATCAAAACTAATTTAAAATCAAATCATCAGTATTTGCTGGGACCACACTTTGCCTTTGAAACAGCTCCAATGTTCCTGAATATTTCTTTCGACATTACTTTGTTCAAATGATTTTGTCATTGCGCTGCTGCAGAATGAATATGTAAACTAGCTGGAACCAGTCTGACGCCTCCATGATGATACTGACTGATGAAGTCCAGTGTGATGGACACAAGCACCTTTTCATTGTAATATCCTTTGACATACTTTCTTCGTACACTTACACTGTTCGGTAGCCCCACTGCTGCGGGTTCCTTAAAAAGTCTAGACTTTCAAGATGTGAGAAACATGTTAGAGCAGAGATTTGTACAGAGTGACAAAACAGCTGCGGCGAACAGCTGCTAGATCAGTGTTGTCAGATTCAGAGGGAAATGTTTTGTCAGAACCCCTACAGGCCCCTGCTGAAGCTTCACTCTACAGGGTTTCATTATGTTGAGGACTCTCTTCGCCCTGATAGCTCTCCAGTTTATCAAAGCTTCCGAGAAGGCTCCCCAAAGTCTCGTCAGCGTGAAGCCTTTTCATATGTACCTGACACCACCTGTCACACTAGTTTCTTCTCTATATCAGTTAACAGGGCTCAACCTCTCCCACTAACATTTTCTAACTATGTGTGATCTCGTCCCTCTTGAGCTTGCTGGTAAGACTTCGCCCGTCAAAGCAACACGGCGGAGCAAAGCTCACGTGTAGTGTGTCTGCCACCTGCTTCCACACACTGCTAAATTACATTTGAAGTTTGTGTTTTTAAGGAAATCCTAACAGATGAGGCTGGATAATCCATGTATATGAATTACTGTCTTCTGACACACAATATTGAAAATATGCAGAAATGGTATATAAAGCAGTACAGCTTTAGAGCAATAAAGACCTTAATGATGGGGGATTTGCTGATTTTCGCCTGACATGTAATAAGTTATAAGAAGAACCAACATACAGCCTTCGTATAGTGCTGAGCCTCTATGTGTTGCCAGAAGTACAAGATGTTTGATTCTCTATTTGGAGGCATTGAATGTCGTTGGTCCCCAAATAAGTCTTCTGGTGGTTGGATGGTGGCAGTGGAGAACACCATGTCACACATCTATGGATGTTTAATCAGGTTGAGATCTGGTGACTGGGATATGATTGACTTCATCCGTATGCTCATCAGACACATCAGTGATCCCTCCTGCTTCCTGGATGGAGACATTTGATCCTGGAGGAATCAAATGTCTTTATGCAAATGTTTCCTCAAAAACATAAAGAGACTCTTATGTCAAAGTAAAAGAGCCAATCTGTTATGTTTTTATTGCCTAAATTTTAAGTGAGTAGTTACCTAATTAGCAACGCAGTCATAATAACACAAATGGAGCGCAAAAGTCTGTTTAGAGTCCAGCAGAATCCAGTCTGTGGCGTGAGCGGTGAAATGATTCATGCCACCACCATTAATGTTTAAATGCAGACTTTTACCATTTAAAATGGGAAATCTTCACTTTGTGTGCTTAATTTCTTTTTTTCTGTGTGTGTTTATGTTCATATAAATAACATTAAGGGAGGAACATTTGTGTGGAAAAAAAAAATCAAACTAATAGATTAAGTGTTGCTTTTGACAAACTGTTGTGAAACTGTGTGGGGTCATCGCTCACACACAAAACTCTGACTGTGCCCACGGAAAAGTTTCTGTCCTGTTAGGAGCAGCAAGTTGGAACGAAGTTGCCAAAGTTCTTGCTGCAGTGTGCAGTGAACTTACAACCTTATTGCCTTTGAAAAAGTTGCTCCTAATACAGGAACCATACCTGCCACCACTTGCAGTCAATTGCCATCTTTCGGTGCATAGAGGCGGCAATAAGACGAAGACAGTCTACTATTAGTTTGCATTAGAATCGGGTCAAATTGGCACTGTGATATACTCCTGAAAATCTGCAGTCTATATAGACATAGATTCATATTAGTCTCTTACATTCAGAACCTCAGAGGTGTGAAACAGGAAATTCAGAAATATCACAGGTGCTCAGCAACCTTGCTTTTATTAGAGCAATACAAAATACAGTCATTCTGCAACCAGGTGAGTCGAGTCCTGTATTGCAGATGAGCTGTGCTTATCACATTGATTGCAGCGTGTAGGCAGTCTCTATACATTTATAAATTAGACAGCAATTGGTCACCAAATGTGAAAGATTCAGTGCAACAACTGATTCTTTTTTCCCACCCAGTTGCAGGGAGGTTGCTAGCCTGGTTTTCCTCTGTGACTGATCCATCTGGGAGATGAGATAAAATGACATGTTTTAGTCAGTGCGTGGACTGAGGGGGCAGCGTTAATATCTAGTATAGTATAAATAAAAAGATTTTAAATATTGTTTTTTACACATTAGTCACTTTAGGTAAAAGTATTTTAGTGTCTGATTATAGAACAATAATAATAATATTTCGATCCTTTTTTTTTTCCTTCTGCAGGTAAACAGTGTATGGGCTTGGTAGACTTGGACCGGTCATGGGCAGCAGAGACTCATGGGTATTCGGTTCAAGTAATGACTATGGAGCCCGAAAGCTGCTCACCAAAGAACAACATGCTGGTGGGAAGGCCGCTGCAGAAGAGAGGACTGGAAGTCACCGCTGGCCAACTGGAAGAGGCAGTGCATAATTAGCACTCGATTCTCTGGAGTACAGCAGAGCGTCTTTAGCATTGTAAGGGTTTGATAAACTATCCGGCTTCTGGCTGTATCACGAGTGTTTTTTAAACCACCCTCAACAATTTACTTAATTTTTTTACAAGCTCAGCCTTAACTGCAGAAAATACATGTTTATTATTTCTGTACTGTCAAAGGTCATCTGGCTTTGTGGCTCAAGAGTTGGGAGTTCGCCTTGTATTCGGAAGGTTGCCGGTTCGAGCCCCGGCTTGGACAGTCTCGGTCGTTGTGTCCTTGGGCAAGACACTTTACCCTTTGCCTACTGGTGGTGGTCAGAGGGCCCGGTGGCGCCAGTGTCCGGCAGCCTCGCCTCTGTCAGTGTGCCCCAGGGTGGCTGTGGCTACAATGTAGCTGCCATCACCAGTGTGTGAATGTGTGTGTGAATGGGTGGATGACTGGATATGTAAAGCGCTTTGGGGTCCTTAGGGACTAGTAAAGCGCTATACAAATACAGGCCATTTACCATCTTTTAAAGTTTCTTTCAGGCTAAACGTTAAAGCAACCATGCCATTCCCGGGAGTTACACACTTTAGTTGATCATCTGCTCAAGCTTCTCCCCAACTGCAATGCTATGTTTTTGTCTTTGCCTAAACTGCGTGACTCAAGCTGTCAGCGCACACAGACGCAGCAGGACTTGGCACACCCATATTGTGAATGAAGTATGACATACGTCCTCATGCTGTTTTCGCAAATAGTCTGTATACAGCCTTCTGGGATAGCGCTCAGTAGTCAGCTACTTCTGATTAACACAAGAAATTCAGTGCTAACAGCTCGTGTGCATTTAAAGACGAGGTGAGGAATCGCCTCGCTGTCATCTCACCTACGTTTCTTCTGTTGTTTTCTTTTTTCTTGCGAGAGACAGTCAGAGGTGGATTTAAACTCGAGTCACATCGGGTAATATACAGTGTCGCATTTGTCATGGTTCTACAGAGGAACCTGATTATTCCTCATAAAAAAGCAATGCGAGTATGGTATGCATTCTGGAATACTTTCAGCAGTAATGAATATTTTATGAAGCTGGTGAAAAGGTCAGCGCGCTTGATTAGACGCACGGTGTTCAGTGCCTCGTAACTGGAAATCACAGCGCGCTCCATATTTCCAGTCCCGGTTACTGTAGTCACAGTGAGGCACCTTAAGCTCTCAGTCTTGCATCTGAAACTATTCGTGTGTTTCTCTGGGAAAAAAGAAGAAAAAAAATCCAGTGTTGTCACCTTTGACAGTCTGATGCAGCTGCTTGAGAAATCTGGGGAGGTAGCCAAGGAGCCAGTTTTTCCCACTCCCACTGAAGGGATAGATGTGAGAGAGATGCAGGCCTCGCAGACGTCAGGCTCATCTGAATTCAGTCAGCAGAGTCAATCTATCCCGAGGTAAATGGCCACAGACACAGCTCCTTCCAAGGATCGGAATTATTTCAGAAGTCTGCTCCCTGTTCATGCTTGTGGCAAGTGCACATTACAGAAATTCATATACATACAAAAGAGGGGAACAGTGGCACTACTTAAAGTGTGCATCGGAAGGAGAATGCAGAGGGTGAAGGCAGTTGGCTTAGAGTAAACATCAGAACAGTAACAGTGGATTCTTTGCTTAGATAAAACAGATGAGCTGTTATTGGCTCATTTTCATCTAAATGCAGAGATGTTCTTTTCTAACGATTCACCTCCTGAAACCTTTCTGCGAATGCATTGCAGAGTCGCTCACATATTTAGCTTAATGCATTTTTTATTTGCGTAATTAGAGGGCTGACCTCGATACAAAAGTCAACTACATGCGAGTTTCTCCAATGTACAATAACCTGTGACTACACAGACGCTGTGTGCATAGTTTTTTGCTATTTAATCGGAGGTGTTTTCTTTATGTAGTTGCTCATAATGAGATTTAGAGCATAATTTTATACTTAAATTGGGATCTGAATTTTAACCATTGGATGATGATTTTTATTTTATTTATTTTTTTTTGGGGGGGGGGGCAAAATCCTCTTCCAGGAAATGAGGGAGCTGGAGTTGTTTTGCTAACTTCACCTTATTAGTTAATTAAAAATTCAGCTCATTTCTTGCGTTTTTGCCAACAGTTTTCTATTTCATTATGCTGCAGAGTTTGTGGCTGGTTGCCCACAACAGCTCACTGCTCCATATTTGGGTACACTCTCTGTTGGTGTCAATTATCCTCTTTGACAAACACTGACCTTGTTTATGTGTCTTGGGTTAACACAGCAGCCACTCATAACGAGTCCATGTGAAAGAGGTACAAAGGGATTTTTCCTACGTCCTCTGTGATCTTAAATATCTCACTCTCTCTTTTTTATATTTTACCTGTGTGAACTATAAAATGTGTTTTTCGGTTGACTTGCATAATTTTCTAATAAACAGCACTGAGTTTAATTATTGGTGTCCACAGTACTGGCAGTTAATTATGTATAGTATTTCCTTTTTGGTCGCCTGGTAGGGCTCAGCTGCTGTTATTTTGCACACCCTAATAATCCTGTAATGTATTCTCTTGTGCTTCGCGTGCTACTTGTCACATTGTCACCTAGGATTTCCATGCTTGCTTTCAGGTTCAGCATTTATTTTCTACTTTGTATCTGCCGTGGCACAGCCTGTTTAAAATGCAACAATGACTCACTCTCCCCAGGAGCTTGTTTAAAGACCGAGTTCACCCAAATCACACAGATAGATGTCTTCTTTTTTCTTTGGGGGGGTGTTCAGATACCCCTGACAGTTGCAGTAAATTAAGATTAGTCGGTCGCTTTAATATAATTTCTGGAATATGTTGACACCTAGAGGTTTTTTTTTTTTTTGTTCAGTGATTTTAAACAAACAACGAGATTAGGTAAATCTTTACTTTAAAGGATGCTGATTGCTGTGAAGTGCCCTGCTTGGTTTGCACCATTCGTAGCATGTTGTCCATATAGTGCAGTGGTCCCCAACCCCCGGGCCATGGACCGGTACTGCTCCGTTAGTCGTTTGGTACCGGGCTGCGAGAGTGGAGGCTCGAGAGTGAAACTGATGGTTCTCAGGGTTTTTATCTGTTTTTAACATTATGTTTCCCTGGGTCTTTTCCCGTGTGCTATGAATAAATCTTTGTTTTTTGGTACCGGTACTGGTTTTATTAAAGGCTGGTCCGTGAAAATATTGTCGGACATAAACCGGTTCGTGGCACAAAAAAGGTTGGGGACTGCTGTTATAGTTGGAGATTCATTCCTCTTGAAATGAACAACTGCATCTTAGATCCACATCTGGAGCTACAATACTGTGCAAAAGTATTGAGTCAACTCTCATTTCTTTATGTTTTGCTAGGAAAGTGGGAAATGGGGCAGGGACTTCAGGAATAGTTCTCCAGGCTTCTTGAAAGACATTGAAAGCTGTTATTGGATGTTGGCTGCCTTTTTGTTCTGATTTCTGTCAAGATGATCCCAGAGTGATTCAGTCGAGGTCTGGGCTCTGGGGAGGCCAATTTATAACTGACCATGTTTCATTGTTTGTTTATTTTCTATCCAGGTATACTTTTACTGCTTTGATGGTGTGTTTGGGATCATTATCATGCTTAAAAATGAAGCTCTCGTCAGTGAGACGCTTTCCAGATGGTGTTCGTGGTGGATCAAAATTTGACCGTTCCCACGTGTTCATAATTCCATCAGTTTTGACAGGATCTCCCACACCATTGGCTGAAACGCAGCTCCAGACCATGGTGGAGCCGCCGTTGTGTTTTACAGATGCCTGCAGACACTCACTGTTGTACCTCTCCTGACCTCCTGCATACATATTGATACTGATTTGAGCCATAAATTTCAAATTTGGATCCATCACTCCATAAATCCTGTTGTCACTGATTTTTAGTCCAGTTCTTGTGTAATTTGGCATACTTCAGCCTTTTCTTCCCGTTTCCCTTCCTAAAGAATGACTTCTTAGCAGCCACCTTTCCACTGAGACTATTTCTGATGAGGGTTCAATGAACTTTAAATGGATCAGATACATCCTTGTTTAATGCGTGGATGATTAATAAGTCAGCGTTAAACAACTAAAAAAACAAGTAAAAACAAAAACATTTCTCTGGAAGTTGTCAAGTACAAGGACTGGACTGAAATGTCTGAAGATAAACATTGAAAGAAAGCCTGGAGAGCTGTTATAGGATCACTTCAAAATATTACAAGACACTCTGGCCTCTTGGAAGCAAAATATAAAGAAATGAGGGGTGGCCCAAGACCTTTGCACAGTCATGGAACTCAACACATAACTTCTAAGTTTGGCTGAGCACCACATCTGGTAAAATGTTCATTAAAAATAACCCCACACATCCTGAGTAAACTCCTGCTAACAAACACAGATGCGCTGCGTAAGTGACCCTTTAAAATCCACACAGTGTCTCAGTTTTCCACAACATATGAATATTACCGGTAATGAGACGTGGCCCTTGCGATCGGCATAAGCCATTGCTCATATTTAAATGCAATGATAACACAAGGAATCACGTTCTTACAGTCAGGTCAATACTGTGATTGATAGTCTAATTATACACAAACCGGGACACCAGCCTTTCTGCGACCAGCTGAGGTCAGACCTGGGTGCCACCAGATTCATTACTCAGTCAGTGAAGGCGAAGAGTTGCATGAATCAAAAGAGACTCTGAACTACTAGCAGTAATCACATGAACCTTCCCGTCATTCATCGCGTGCTCCAGAAGGCTGTTAGGCCAACCGGGCACTCCCTCTGGTTGGTTCACTGACAGAAAGCTGTCACATCAGGAAATGAGGCAGCCTTCATCATTCTGCACCCAAACAGGAAGCGCAGTTCAGGAGACTTTGAATGTGGAGTGCCGCTTAGGAATCAGACAGGTGATGAGGTCTAACAGGATCCTCGTGTGAAAGAATAGAAAGACAGCAATTACGCATGCGCAGTGTCGTTCAGAAAAGCTTTTTGGCTTGTTGAGAAAACCGAAACAGTCGGTAGTTGTAAGCGATTTTGATTAAATGCATCCACTTGTGTTTGTTTACAAAAATTATACATATTAAGGTTGTTTTTTTTAATAAGTATTTCCACCTGTTGAGTGCGCGTGCGCCTCAAACTTTAACAAACCACTGATTTTCTATTTTGCGCAGCTTTCTTTTTATACCCTCAGTAATTTTCACTGCTTTGTCTTTGCTGCGTGATCAACATCTACCTGGGTGGCCAACAATACACCTGCGTGTCTCAGCAGGTTCATTAAGGCATTTTCCACAGCGTGTAACGGAGCCACACGTGGAGCCTCTTCTTCC